TACTGTATTACTTGTTAGGCCATATTTCTAGTGCTGTATAATTAGTGTATTAAACAGATATCAATCTCTATTGAAATGTAAAACAAACTGTGAAAAAAGTGTTATTAAACTTAAGCCGTTAAATCAAACTGTGAATTCAAGTTCTCGATCACTGTTTCACTGGAGTATCTATTTATAAACCATTAGAATCCAGTATTTTCTCTGTATTTGAATTTATTGGACTTTTTTCAAACAACTCTCTTCCAAATGACGACCTTTTTGTTCCCAATTCTTACATCACTTAAAGGCTGTATTTTGCAAACATTGAGACCACAGCTCTTGTCCTAAATATGAGAGTTTTCATGAATTTTTCTAAAATAAGTTATTCTCTCCAAATTCAGTTTCTAATTCAAGTTTATAACGTTTGACGATCATTTTGATCACAAGTGATGTCTAATTAAAAATTTCCATTCAATATATTAGTAATGAATCACAAAATTTACAATTTATTCATTGAATTTGATTTATTAAATTATCGTTAATTTTGACTCAATTTGACGTTTAACTGAATGAAGCTTTTAATATATTTATTACTTCTTATATTGACTAATGATTGTGTCATTAATTTAGGGTTTTAAAAAGTTTATTTTTTATTTGTTTATGACATCCGAAAGCTTTTAATTTAGGTATTAAATACTAATTGTGTTTAACACCGAAGACAATGCTGTTTGAGAAGACTATTGCAATGTTGCCGGCGATTGTGCCGACCCTGATGTTCCTCATGTATAAGGGATATCACAGAACAATCCCATTCACTACTGAAGAGTTTGATCGAGAATATGATTATATTGTCGGTAAGCATTTGACCGAAACTATCACTATTTTCTATTTAAATATAATACCTATTCTTTTCTTTTTACTATATTTTAGATAAATATGTTTAATGTTTGAAAACAAATAGTTATGTGTTTATATATGAATGAATTAAATGAATGAGAGAATAATATTATATAAGAATTAAACGATTATAACTTTAAAAGATAAAATTTTTTAAGTAAAAGTTAATCCGTTTTGTGTCATAAGTTGCTTTCAATTGACGCTTGGATTGACGCAATTTCTCTAATAAAGGCTACAAATGATGTCTTTTATATTAATTATGTTAACGAGAAGTGTATTTAAGTCGAGTTCTATGACCTCTTTAAGGATATCTTCTTTTTATTGGCAATTAATATAAGCATTCAATTAGTTTAACATTAATTTTGTTTATTTTATAAAATGACTAAAATATGTAAATTATTTGAATGACATAAAAGTGGGCGCGGGATCGGCGGGTGCGGTGGTGGCCAGTCGTCTGAGTGAAGACCCTCACGTCAAAGTGCTTTTACTCGAAGCGGGTGGCCATGAAGTGTGGCAAAGCGAGATACCTATGCTTGCGGCCCGACTCCAGATGTCTGAGTATGACTGGCAGTACAAGACTGAGCCTCAGAAGTACGCGTGTCAGGGCATGAAGGAGCACCGGTCTAACTGGCCCCGGGGCAAAATACTCGGCGGCTGTTCGGCCATTAATTACATGCTTTACGTTCGCGGCAATAAACGTGATTACGATTACTGGGAGAGTTTGGGTAACTATGGCTGGGGTTATAACGGGGTGTTTCCCTATTTTATTAAATCCGAGGACAATCGCGATCCCGACGTTTTGAAGAATGGTTATCACGGTATGTACTCAACAGTACTTTACTCTACTACTAGTAGTAGCCCTAATGTACTTTAGGGACTTATACTACCCGTGCCATACCATAAGTTTGTTATTTAATTTAGAAACTGAAGTTTGTTTTAATTACCAAGCACTTGAATAATTAGTGTCTAAGTCAAAAGTGTGCACATGTTTTAGGTCACGGCGGGCACCTAACTGTGTCAACAACTCATTACACGACTCCAATCGGTGGCGCTTTCCTACAGGCGGCCAAACAGTTTGGTTATCCAAATATTGATATTAACGGCGCTCGACAATCAGGTTTCGCTATACCTCAGGGAAACATACGCCGTGGGGCTCGTTGTTCAACGGGAAAGGCTTTCATCCGCGACGTCCGGGGCCGCAAAAACTTCCATACAGTCATCTACGCGCACGTGACCAAGGTCATCTTCAACAAACATAAGAGGGCCGTAGCCGTCCAGTTTGACCGCAAGGTATCCTAACATCTCTCTCTCTCTCTCTCTCTCTCTCTCTCTCTCTTATATCGAAATCAATGAAAATATGTTTTATTGAATATAAGAAAGAAGAGCACAAATGGAAATATATTTAGATTTGACCCAAATTTTACATTTAATATTCAATTAGATGACTATTATTGCAATTGTGCGCTACTCTTAGATTTCTTTATCTTTTTATCATCTTTTCATTTTGATAGCTATTAATGAAAACGACCGCAAATCCAATCCATTTTGAATCCAATTCAATGATAAATAGTTTATTAGAAAACTAGTACTGAAAGCACTCGGAGTTTGTTTTGATAACAAAACATTCAAATACTTGACTTAATATTTATTCTTTACATAATTTTATACAAGATATGCATAAAAAGGCATTCATTGAATGCAAACATATTTCGCACAAAACTAACAAAAGATTTCAATTCACACAAAGGGTTTGAAACACATAGTATACGCTCGAAAAGAGATTATATTATCTGCCGGTGCCATAAATTCGCCACAATTGCTCATGTTATCGGGCATTGGCCCCCGATATGACTTAGAGGAGTTGGGAATCCCTGTGATTGTGGACGCGCCAGGGGTGGGACAAAACCTTCAGGACCACATAGGGGTGGGTGGCCTACAATTTCACGTCAACGCACCCGTGTCTGTAGTGCAGCCCCGGGTATATGTGGCCAAATCGTTCACTCAATGGAGCACTTTGGGTATCGGACCCTTGACTATGTTGGGAGGGCTGGACGGCATCGGATTTATTAATACCAAATACGCCAATCAGAGCGATGACTGGCCGGACGTTGAGATACATTTCATACCGTCCTGTGCCTCCTCTGATGGCGGAGAGTCTATCCGTAAAGCTATGAATCTTAAGGATGAACTCTTCCGCAAAGTTTACGAACCCTTTCTATACGAAGACTCTTATGCTTATTACCCGGTTTTGTTGAGACCCCGGAGTGTCGGGTGGATGAAACTCCGATCGGCCAGCCCTTACGATCAGCCAATTATACAACCAAATTGTAAGTTATAATTACAGAATACAATTTATCATTAATATTCAATATATACTCACAAGAATGCAATTATAAGATAACATTCAATTTCTAGT